TGAAGAAACCCTGTTCACCGGTCTTAAATTCTAAATTATTTTGTGTGATGTTTGTGTGGCTTGAAAATAAGTTTCTCCTTCCAGTGTTTGAGTTCAAATGGCACCGACTGGAAACAGCCCCTCTGCAGGAATGGGTGCTGGGTTCAAACCTACCTGGGAGGAAGCTGCTGTGGGTGAAAAGATGTCAACAGGTTGTTAAAGCATGAAGTACTGATTTTAGGGTGGGGGTTTCCTCTGGGTTTACCTTGCAGGGCCCTCCCCAAGCAACCCTGTGTGGAGGGAACAGCCCGGGCTGTGCTGTGAGACACCCCAGAGCTGCCACGCTCAGGATGTGTGTTTCGCCACTCTTTGCATTCATTTCTACCACATTTTGTGCTTCTACGGTTTTCCTCCTCTGCACTGCATTAAGTACAAGCTATGAGGTTGGTTCTTTCTCACTTGTCTCCATGATTTCCCAGCCCACATTACTGAGCTCTGGGCAAAGACAGCAAAATTAGTTGCTGATTTGTTGACATTTTTGCCTGATACCTTAATGCTTTCAGGTGCATGGGCAGAGCTTCCCCTTCACACACAAAATGACTTCAGCCCTCTCTAAGTAACACCACTAACAAGGATCAGGCAGACAGTGTGGGGTAACCACCGCCTGTCTCTATGGCTAATGCCATTTCACTGCTATTTTGTGCGTTCTCACCCCATTTGTATCATCTGCATCTTTTTATCAGACTTTAAGGACATGGGCCTGCATGAGCGAGTCCAGAGGAGGCCCCGGAGCTGCTGCGAGGGCTGGAGCAGCTCTGCTCTGGAGCCAGGCTGAGAGAGCTGGGCTGGGGCAGCTGGAGAAGAGAAGGCTCCTGAAGGGGACACCTTAGAGCAGCTCCAGTGCCTAAAGGGGCTCCAGGAAACCTGGAGAGGGGCTTTGGACAAGGGATGTAGGGACAGGACAAGGGCAATGGTTTTAACCTGCCAGAGGGGAGATTGAGATGAGCTCTGAGGCAGAAGCTCTTCCCTGGGAGGGTGCTGAGGCGCTGGCACAGGGTGCCCAGAGAAGCTGTGGCTGCCCCATCCCTGGCAGTGTTGAACACAGTTGGACACAGGGGCTTGGAGCAACCTGCTCTAGTGGAAGGTGTCCCTGCCCGGGGCAGGGGTTGGAACCGGAGGAGCTTTAAGGTCCCTTCAACACAAACCAAGCTGGGACTCCATGAATCACTTCCCTGTGAAGACGCTTTAACGCACCCCAGTGACGGGCAGGGTGTTACTGAGCCTCTGCTGCTTTAGCTGGCGGTTGGTGGCTGGAAAGCAGAGGAACATTCTGCACAAGCCCAGGCTGGCAGCCAGGCTGACGGGCTCTCCTGCAGGAAGGTGATGGCACCACTCCAGCACCTCGACGCAGACTGGGAAATAACCTACTACCCATGTGGAACAGTCGAGTAATCGTTCACTTCTACAGCACTACAGCTAATAACAGCGCTACTTAATGACAGCAATTAGTATCAGTGACTTTCCTTTCACTCAGCTGATAACCTTACCTGGTACAAAGCCCATGTAGGAAGGTATCAGTCCAGCACTGGTGTAAATTCTATTGGCAGGCCAGTAATTTTGGGGATATCTCTTGCCAAAGCTACAACATGGGTTCCTCAGCATAAACTGGGGGGAAAAAACCAACGCCAGAGTACAGTTAATTTTAAAACACACTGGTTTTACCAAGTCATGTGCTTTGACTCTGCATTAAACGTTTAAGCCATGTAAAGCAATTCTCTCTCCAGTTCAGTTTTCTTCTCATTAAGAGCTACACTGCATTCACCTCATCACCTCTGGGCATCACCCGCAAGTCCCAAATGCCTTGTGCTCCTACATCTGATGTACTGGGAGCCAGCAAGTGTCTGCTGGGATTGGGCACAAGCTTTATCTGCTCCTGTGCTGTGACTCTGCACGTCTAGGGGTTGGTTTGACCCCTTCACCTGGTTTTGTTTCTGCATGAGTCCCGCTGGTGGTGATTAGCCAGTAATTCCCTGGCTAGGAGGAACAGGAAGGCTTAGGGAGCGTTAACTGCAGGGAGAGTGTAAATCATCCCCTGGAAGCGTCTGACCCTCCAAGGTCAGACCCAGACGAGGGGCTGGAGGGTGGTTGTTGCTGCTCTCAGTAGTCAGATGTCACTAAAGCTGTGCTGCCCTCCTGGGTGGAGAGGGGACAGGGCTGATGGACCCACGCAACCTGTGGGGCCACTGACCCATCCTGTGGTGGTGATGGAGCGGCTGCTGCATCCCTCAAGCACCGCACTGAAGCGTGAGGGCTGCACTATTTTGCCTGATGCAGGCAGGAAGCAATGATCCATAGCACATCCCAGTATGTAACCTAGGGCAACAGAGATTTAGGGCAGCAGATTAATGGCATGAAGCCATCTTAGATAGAAATGTGGTGTGATCTGGGGGTTTTTTTAGTGTACTCGTATTATTCCTTCAGTGCTTGATGTGCCGCAGCTCAACTCTGCAAGCCTGGATTCTGCTGAATCCTGCAACAGAAACACCTCCCTTGCTGATTTACTACATGCAAAATGTTACTTAAGGAATCGGGGCAGAAAGGCTTTGCAAACAGCACGTTTAGTTTTGATAATGCCATGGTTTGGGGTTGTTTTTCCTTGCTGCTTCATTTCAGTTCCTATTAATGGCAGAAGCATTAGGAAGCCAGCACAGGAAAATACATTTCAGCCTGAGAAGCAAGAGGCTGCCATGAGCAGCCAGCCCTGCTGCTTTCCCTGCTGAGTCATTTCTTCCCAGCTCAGTTTCTCTGAGCTGGGGATCCTCAGTCTTGGAATTTTTTCCTACATCAGGCCCGTATGCTCTGGGATGAAGGCACTGCAGCGAATCTCAGTGACCAGAAAGGGCTGGGAATGGTGTAACCCATGTCACTGAGCTGATCAGCCCACACTGGTGCTGGACCAGGGATGCTGCTGCATCTCACTGCATCCAGGTAGCAGAAAGAAATGTGTACCTTTGAATGCAAACTGTTAACTGCTGGGGGAGGGATCTCGTTTTCCCATGTAGGAGGCAGATCTGACAGCAAGGGGACAAATAGTTTTTCAGAAGGGATATTTCTGCATCCTTCCCAAAAGGAGAAGATCTAGATCCCTTTAAGACCAATTATGTTAGGAAAGGAAAAACCCTTACAACCAATTAAAAGGGAGGAATATCCACCTGAGCAGCCCAGGAAGCCATCCAGCACTGCCATCCCAATAGAGAAGATGGGTTGCACAAGGGAAGCACAGATAGTTGCATCCTGTGTTTCTGCACTCAGAGCCACATTTTTAATAGCCACCCTTGAACCCAACCCTCACTAGATTTGCTTAATCCTTTTATGAACTCATTTATCCTCCTTTAATGTCCCAAGGAAACAAGTTACAGACTTTAATTGCTGATGAGTTTTTCACCATGTTACCTAATAGTGTTTTATTTTACTTGTAACTTATAACCCCAGTCCTAACCCTACTGCTGTAAGTGAAACCACTTTGGGTGCTGCAGCTGAACCAATTACATGATTGAAATAAGATCTGTGTGCATAATGTACCTGGTGTTGGTCAAATTCCTTCATTGCTTCCTTCACACTCCGGATGTAGTTCACACCATGAAACCAGGTGAGGCGGGGGATGAATCCAGCGTACCCTGTGGATGAAGACAAGAGAGAACATTGTCTGCTTGGGAACATTCATATCCGATAAAGATCAACCAGCCTGGAAGTGGAAGAGGCTGGGAAAAATCTAAAACCTCAGCAGGGTATAGGAAGGAAAAACGCACCCATTTGAAGTGTAACATTAACCTGTGAATGGCATCTGCCTTTTCCAGTTCTTCCCAGCTTTACACTAAGAGCTACCCAAAGATTTCTGGAATGACCAGAAATGTATCTAAGGTTTCCCCATGGGGAAGGCTGGTGAAACAGTTTCTTCCAAGGGGGACTCCTGCTGCATGTCACCTCCCTCCCTTTTACCTGTAATGACTTTCTGCTGGATCACATTTGGTATATCTGTTTTCGGCAACCAAGTGTCTTCCTCCTCGGCCCCTTCCGTTCTCACAGGCTGCTCGGTCAGTGGTGGCAGTATCACCCGTCCACGCTTTACATGTTCAAAACAAAAGCAGAAATAAACCAAACTTCTTCCTGCGGCTCCATTGCTTAAATCACCAACAGAACCTGTGAATGGCAACTGCCATTTCCAGTTCTTCCCAGCTTGACACTGAGAGCTGCCCAAAGAATTTCTGGTGAAGTCACATTACATGTGCTCTCTGTACACAGAGGTTCCGCAGGGAGAACAAGGGGAGCTTTGGACACTGAGTTCCTCTGTATATCTGCTTCTCAGAGCAAGGAGCAGGAAGGCCCCTTCCTGGGATTTGTATCCAAGCCAGCTTTTGATGTGATACAGCAAATCCTTACTTTCTGCCTTTGGGGGCTGGCTGCCTGGAACAGGATGGAAGAAGTGAGGGGCTCAAGCACATTGGTCCCAAGTGATACCCGCTCTGCCATGTGAAACATCACCAGCTCCAGAGGCAAACCCCAGCGCTTGTGTTTAAACAAGGGATAACAGTGCTGGGGAATTCAGGCGGGAGCAGGGAAGGGGTCAGAAACCCAGCACGTAACCAAAGGGGACAGGAGCACTCTCTTTTCAGGACGAGGAGGAAGAAGAGGAGGAGGGTGTCAGGGCTACCAGCTCACCCAAAGGAAACGCAAGCCTGGCACAGTGCAACCTGAGACCTGATGACTGGGACTTGAAGCTAAAACTCCACCAAAGAAGAAGTTAAGGCTTTTTAATTAGGAAGAGTAATTAATGAGTACAGCAATTTCCTGGATATGTAGTGGATTTGCTACTGCTAGAAACATTTCTATATTTGATATTTCTCTACATGTCACTCTAGTCTTCATACCCTTGTCATCCACACCCATATCATAGAATCCCAGCCTGGTTTGGGTTGAAGGGAGCTTGAAGCCTATCCAGCTCCAACGCCCTGCCATGGGCTGGACCTTCCACTAGAGCAGGTCGCTCCAAGCCCCTGGGTCCAACCCGGCCTTGAACACCGC